ACCTGCGGCTGCCCGGGACGTGGAGCAGAGGCTGTCCCAGGAGGAAGAAGGTTTCCTCTTGAGTCACTTCAGGCATCCCTGGAAACCGCTCTCCGGAGCCGGGTGCGAGTCGGCTGAGCCCACAAGAGCGCAGCTCAGCGCAGCTCCGGCTGCGGATTTCAGATGGGTGAAACCAGCCCGGTACCCGCTCCCGCAGCCGGGAAACTGCTACTGCTTATCCAGTCCTGAGCGCCGGCCACGCTCCCTCGGGGGCCTGCGAGACGCTGCGGTTTCGCGCACAGCACATCCAGCCCCGACTCCACCTGCAGTCACGCGGACGCTGAACGCGGCTGCGGCAAAGGCAGCACGCGCTGAGCGGACCCGCTAAGGACGTCCTCCTCCACGTTTCGTCCCGGCTCCGAGGGATGCTGAGAGCAGAGGAAGCTCCAGGGCAAAGCAGCAGTTTGCAGTGATGTGTCCGAGCTACACGGACGAACCAGGCGGGAATGCAGGGTTCAAAGCCTCCGAATCCTTGCGCGTACCTTTTGGCTCAACGATATGTAACAGCAGCCTGGCTCCCGAAAATCTGCCAGCCTCACTAAGGGACAGCTGAGAGGAGGAGGTGAGAACAGAAACAAATAAACAAACACACGTGGCAGCTACCTCCACAATGGACCACGTTTTCAGACACTGCAAAGAAGCAGAAACTCCAGGCGTCCGACTGGAGTCAGTGGGACTGTTCTGGATTTGCAGGAGCGTAAGGGAAACCCAAACCTGGACCAGCAAAGCCACCATGCTCTGAGCACTTCTGACCTTTGGTGCTCCTGGGACACCGGCCTCCTGTAAGCCGGCAGGTATCTGCAGGCCAGATGCCCTCTTCCCACGTATTTCGTCTGCGTTTCAAATTTCCTGGTGGAGCCAGTGATGCCCAGGGTGTGCTGAAGATCTCCAGCTCGTTCCTGCTTCTCTTGTGCCATGATTGCTCTCCCCCCGCGGCACTCAGAAGCGCAACCACCGTTTCACAAAGGAAAAATCAAGCTAGAACTGATCTTCATCTTATTTCTGCTTCCATGCTCACCTGACAGCCCTCCTGGTCCTCCACTCTCATTGGTTTTAATTAGAGAAAGAGTTCATCCATGTCATGAGCATGTTATGTCGGGGTAAAATCAGTGTAAGCGAAGAAGCCAGCTGTGTCCCAGCCCAGCCACTTGCCAGTCCCGGGCTGCTAACACGCTTTTCTGGCCAATGCAATGAAGAACATCCCTGAAGTGCTTTCTTCAAGCCACGTGAAGTCAAAGCTGCCCAGAATGTCCCCTTAACCTTTCCAAGGTGCGGTGGCCTCTCCCCCTCTTGCAGTGTCCACTCCACATGGTGGGAAAATTGAAACCCTCTGTAACGATGTCTGAGCAAGCAGACCGAGAGGAGAGACGCTCAGCGAACCCCTTCGCTCCCGGCTGCCTCTCTCCTCCGCAGCAAAGACAAAAAGGAGATTATGTTCGCCCTGCCATGGACCAGCTAAAGGAGGACTGAAAAGCCCTTCGCTGGACGCGTAGCGCTGGCTGCTGCGCACGTTGTTTTCGTTCCCCGTCCTTGAATGGCTCCGTGGCAATCAGCTGAGCCCCACGGAAACCCGCAAAAGCTTTCTAGCTAGTTATGAAACTCGGCCTTTGGCAGAGCACAGAGATTCCCGGCCCAAGAGGGGAAGACAGGGGCTCCGGTCCTTGCCAAAATAGCGTCAACTGATCCATTACGGCTGTTCACCGCTTAAAGCAGGACAAAGTCTTCTTTAGCCCCGTTTCCCCTCTCAGTCTTAGCGATGGACCGGCCCTCCGCCACGCTCGAGCAGGGATGCGCAGCTGCGGCATGACGCGCCAATCTGCTCTTCTCCAAACAGGTCTTGTGCCTGGTCTAGCCTCAAAAGCCAGATCCCTAGAACACACTCCTTGAGAGGCTGGAACGTGCTGGGTTTTTAATCCAAATAGCTATAGCAGGAAAATCCTACTGTGGTCACAGCTGTATCAGAAAAAAAGTGACTTAGGACATTTTTATATGAGAAGGGTTTTACTGGTAGTATTTTTGCCAGTGTGAACTTTCCAAGACTTACCAGCAGAACATTTTCCCATCCAAAAATACCTTTCATGAGAAAGCCTTGAAGTACATCAACTTTGACAAAAAAAAGGTAGGAGGGGAGGAACTGCAAATAACATTTCTACCATGTCTCAAGATTTTTCGAACAGAATCTTTTAACATGTTTTATCGAAAATGTGATTCTAACAAACTTGAGATAGGCTTGTCATTGTTGTTGGCAGTTTCCTTTGCTGGGAGATTTCAGAGGGAAACCAACTGCTGAGACTGTGAAATTTTCGGCTCCGTGGAAAATTCAAGGCCTGGCTTTTGGGGGAGGAGGGGTGGAGGGGAATACGGGCGCTATGCGATGGCAAACGGCTGCGCAGGCAAAGGCTGGGCGCTTTCCCCCAGAGCAGAGAGCGGACTTCTCCCACAGCCTCAGGGTCAAGGTGTTGCACAGGGAAAACAAGGCTTCCTAATTTTCTCATGCGTGGGCTGACGACTTCAGAAAAGCAAAAGTTTGGTAAGCAGGGAGAAGGGAGCGCGGGAGGCGCTCTGCCGTTGGCGTCCGGCCTCTGCACTGGGTACAAATCCCCCGTGAGCCCCAGGGCGAAGGCAGCGGCTCCGGAGCAGCGGAAAGCCTTGCTCTCTCGTTCGGGTCCCTCGCAAAGGACCTGCGCGCCCGCCTGCAGCTCGCACGTCTTGTTGCTCAAGGCAGATCAATGCACTGTATGTTTTGTAAATAAAACAGGACACTAAGAAAATACCTGATTCTGCGTCACCGACTCCTTTCCAAGCAGAACACGGACCCCTACATCTCCAAAGCAGCCTCATGGCACTGCCCAGCTGCTCTTCGTTTGCCTGAAAAATTGCCACCGTCTGCCCCCAGACTCTGGCAACATCCAAAATTTTGGGGTCAGTGAAATACTTTAGGCATCAGGAATAAGAGGCATCCATAAAAAGTTTATCTTGATCATAACAGCAGGCTATCTGGATGCAAACAGTAGGAGCTATGAAAACATTTAAATCATATCTGAATATCTAGTCAGGAGAAACAACATTTGCCCCACATTTTTTATTCTTCCAGTGTTTGAACAGCCCTTGTAGATCTTTGTTTAAAATGTACACAAACACATTGAATTTCACGGACTTAGCAAATATGTAATCTAAAGCAAGGGGAAGCGTGGGTGACTCGCATTTCTTAGGATCCACCTACATACTGGAACAAAAAAAAAGGAGCGTTTCATGATTAAAAATATATAAAAGTATATAAAGATATTTATACATCCTATCCCCCAACAGCCCAGAATACGAGCAACCCTACAATAAGCAAAGTAGTATATGCATGACATGAGGAGGACAAATCAGGAGGGAAAGATATTTTATCCTGAGGCTTCCAAGGAATGTTACTCAAGCAGTGATTTATTTGTGGAATTTCAGGAGGGGAGGGAGGACGAGACACAAAGGTCTCACAGCTGCAAGCAAGATAAATCGTACATCATCGTGTATTTAGCAAACTATAATGCAAACTGTAGACAAATACAAGGAAGGGGGAAATATATGAACTCTAAGTTGAGAATTATCAAACGCTTCAAGTCTGCATGCAGCGTTTAAGGGCAAAGGGATATCCCTCATTGTTCCCCCTCTAGAAATAAATCATTGTTCTGAGCAACACTGGAGGAAAAAAATAGTTTCAGGATATTTATAACACCTTGGCTGTGTCCCTTTTTTAATCAAGAGAAGCTGTTGTGGGGTGAGGCTTGTTATTTTCAGCAGAGAAAAATTAGCTTATTAAAAAATAACATTGTGGTGGCTTTTTAATAACTGTGGCTCGCATGGAGTTTACTGCTGGTAAGTAAGCGTTCTCATTTTTTGTGTTGATATAGCAAAAATGTAAATGCAAAAGACCTTGTGCAAAAATACAGTTTCCCCTCCGAACAGGAGACCAAGCGTTCCCAGCTGCTGCCGAGACCCAGGAGCAGAGCTGCAGCAAAGCAGGCCGGTTATCAAGGTGATATTGGGGTCTGAATATATTTCCCTCGCTCTGTCACTTCTCTCACTTCCCCTTTGCTATGCCTCTTCTAACGCAAATTGATGGTGCTTTGAACCTTGCCTGATTTGGTTCATCAAGTGAGATATAGTCTCCTCTGAAGGGCCTGATCCTTCCTTCCAGGAGTGTGATGTTCCCGATAAATTTCCATGCGCAGAGGATTAAATCTCCTGGGTCACATGCTGGAAGGTGCTGAGCTCCCCCCCCCAATTTCCCCGAGCATTAACAGGAGTGAAAGGGACTCAGCGTGCCGCAGAAGGTGCTCAGATCCGTGCAGGACTGGTCCTAGGGGAGGGCGTCAGGGGAGAGGGAGTAACAGCTGAAGGATGAGATAAGATGAAGACATTTCCAGCAAAGAAAACAAGGACAGGAAGGTTTCTCTGGAAACGCAGCACCAATTTCCCTCTTCGAACAATTCAGTTAAGTCCAAAGGAGTTTGCTAGAGAAAAACCTGCCCCACAGAATTAGCCGGGATTTGAAAGGAAAGCCTTTGGTGCGAAAGAGCCGGGGAGGGGAGGCTGCCCCTGGGAAGGCGCAGCCCAGGAATAGATGTAAATCTGCAAATGCTGTCACGTTGAAGTAAACCTGGAGTAACGCTATTGTCTGCAGCGGGGTTGCTTTGGGCTTACACCAGTGTGACCGAGATTAGCGTACGGGCTCGGGCGCGCTCATTACGATAAAGCGCTCGCTCGGGGAACTCGAATGTCGAAGCCGCGTTTGGCAACGGCCAGGCGCCCGCGTCGCAGACCGCCTGGCTCTGCGCCCTCTCCTTTCCTCCCTCACGCTGCCTCCAAGGTGTGCTGAGGCTGCAAGTCCTTTGCTTTATCACCCTCCCGAACCTGAACTCTGCTCTGGCCCCACCACGGTAATAAACTGTTATATGAGTATTATGTAACTGTCAGCATGAGGAATCTGGCATGCATAGCATGAGCAACGCACACGGGGAGGAGGAAAGTGGTTGACACAGCCATCCCTGCAAATTAAAGTAGGAGTAAATAAAGCAATTAAACAATATTCAATCAGAGATGCAGACTGAACGCGAGCAAAGGCCTGCACAGCCCCATCTCCCTTGCAAACGCGATCCAATTTACGAGCAGAACCTCGCTTAATTGCTCGCGGCCAAGCCTTTGCCATGCACGAATAAAATAATAATGGAAATGTGAAATAAAACAGCAAGGCGCTCTGGAAAAAAAAAAAAAACGCTCATTTCCCCGGCCGGCCCCCTAAGGATTTCAAAGCGCTGCACAGCGGTACTTAAAAGCAGTCGCC